CGTGCAACATGTCATCGAGTAACTTATTTGATGCACCACATATACTTCATATTTTTCCAATACGTAACATTACCTCTAATTTGTGTAACTTTGACAATGACGTTATTCTATTAGGATATCTACGATATTTTTTCCAACATTTGTCAGATATTCAAAAAGTATGCAAGAGTGATTCCACATACCTACCGTTGAAGAAAAAATGAAATTAAGTGTTTTTTCTCAATTCTTTGAGTTCAGTTTGAGGTTAAGTTATTCTTGTAAATTTATGTCGACATCTTTATGGTATGAGTTTCCAGTGATATTTGTGAATTTTGATTATTTGTATATTGTAAATGAAATATAAAGGCCAAAAATTTTTTCCATAAAAAAAAATTCTTGTTTCTAATACATTTAAAATGAATACCTACCATGTCTTGATCCAACATAAACAAACTGATAGGATATAACATAATACCCATAATGTGTAGATCCTGGTGCTGCCATGGCATAACAGTATAAATCGAAACAGGAGGTAATAATAGTAAATATGGATAACAACTGAAACAGGGAAAGCTATAACTTACACCACTAGTAGGGAATAGAATCTTACTAAGGAAAATATTGCTGTAACTAGTGAGGCACGTTGTACATCTAAAAATATAGCATCCTGAACAATTGGTTTTTGATACCAAGGCGTTTTTAAGGATTTTAAACTTCTAGCACTTCTCGACAGGTTTCCAGTACTTCGTGTGTGCGAATATACAGACGGCGTTCCTGTAGTGGGCGACTTTTTTCCATAAGCCATATTTCTTTTTATATTAATGGATACAATATATCAACTTGTTGAGTTAAATATCTTAATTATTGTTTTTCTGGAATTCTGACACATTTGTCATGTAAACACAGAGGCGTGGTCCCATTCACAGCAGTGTTGCCAGTGTGGAAACAATATTAAATTGTTTCAAAAGTTTCATCAGTCATGTGTTTTTGTAGCTCCATATATCAATAACTATTTATTCTACTGTGTTATGATAAATACTGATCGATATATAATTTTTGTTCACTCTACAGCGATGCTGTTCATTTTTTCTAAATTTCAACTTTTTGCCTCATATGGGTTGAATACTACAACTAGGTAACTACAAATCAGCTGTTTCGAGGAAAACTCAAATTAATTTTTTTTTCACGATTTTGGTAGAATATGAAGGCTTTATTGAATATCATTTTACTACCATTTCTAACTCGGAAGAAGGCTTTGATACAGCAGGAATTACTTTTTTTGAAATTTTATTTATTTCTTGTTCCCCATTATTTTGTCCCGTGTTGGATCAATGAACACATACAAAGAACTTGTTTTGTTATTTATCTCACATTATTTATAACCGGCAACTCTGTATTCCTTCAGGACTTTCAGATCTTACATGTTTTTGACATTTTGATGTACCCTGTCGGAAATATTGACACTAGGCACTAAAAAAAGTAAACTTTTAAAATACAAAACTAATCACCAAAAATTTCTTTTACAAAAAAGGAGTGAACTAGGATGATATACGCAGCGCCCGATCTAGGAGGGGGCAAACAATTGCCCGGGGCGGCAAAAATGAGGGGCGGCAAAAATAGGTTAAAATTATACCATCTCTGGAATAACGCATGGGTAAAAGGCGGCAAATATTATTTTGTCCGGAACGGCGAAATAGCTGGACCGGGCGCTGGATATACGAGAAGTGAAAATTTTAACATTCCATTTCTCAGAATAAACTAACCCTTTTCACTGTTATTCTTCAATATTCTAGAACAATGACCGTCGGCTTCTTTTCTTGGGAAGGCAGTAACATACATACCTGTTCAAATCTGTTTTTAAGTTAACCAACTGATGTCGATCCCCGTATCAATGACAACCCTCAGAAGTGGAAACTAGTATGCGCTAAGGATTATTGAGATCTTACCTTTTGACTCGTGACTCCTAATACTGGTTGGACTATAAGCAGTGGAAAATGATCGTCCGGTCGTAGAGCTCCAAGCACTGTTTCATATATAGCGGTGGATTGAATCCCCCCAATCTACTTTGCTAACTCAATAACTTAACCTAAAATTCGTTCAAACACTCAACTAGTTGCTTTCTACGATAAGGAATTTTCAAAAGTTTTCGCTGTCCTTGTGAAAAACAAGAAACCTCAAGAATTTTAGTTCTTCAAGTGCGATATCAACCATCACGCCAACTAGACTAGACATCTGTCTTAGTCGTCTCTGCTTATTCTAAATTTTCACATATGACTATTTCATAATATAGGGTCTTTCATTAGGCGCATGTGAGATATATCATCGACATTTTTTATTCGTCTGAATAAAGACCTATTGATGCCATTATGTGTGGAATTTAACATCGCTCAAATGTCCACCACGGCTTCTGTAAGTGGAGCGCATTCGAAACGTCCAACTTTCCATGACTCTAGCGCTGAATTTGACCGATGGCATGGGTCATGTTGGCATTGAGGACCGCTGTGGTTTGTGGCTTATTCGCATACACCTGCGACTTGAGAAAACTGCACAGAAAAATCTTATGGGGTCAAGTCACACGATCTCGGTGGCGATCTCGTGTAGATTATCCAATGTGGCATGAGCTGTGTGGCACGTAGCGCCGTCCTGTTGATACCACATGTCGTTGGTGTACAGATCATCCAATTTAGGCCAAAATAAGTTAGTAATCATCAACCTATAGTGCTCACTGTTGACAGTGATGGCCTGGTCAACGTCGTTCTCAATGAAATATGGACCGATGACGCCGCCAGCCCAAAATCCACACCAAACAGTAACTTTTTTGGGATGCATTGGACACTTTTGGATCTTATGTGGATTGGTGTCGTTCCAAATTCGACAATTTTGTTTGTTCACGTATTCATTCATTCAGAAATAGACCTCATCGCTGAAGATGATTTTTCGATGAAAATTAGGATCATTTGCCAACTGCTCCAGAGCCCATTCCGTGAACACACGTGGTTGTATATGGTGGTTTACCTTCAGTTCCGGGGTCAATTTAATTTTGTACGGGTGCAGGTCCAAGTCACGACGCAAAATTCGCCAAATTGTGGTCTGCGAGTTCTTGTGAACGACGCACGCGAAAACGACTGCCTCGGATTCTCCTGCACATTCTCACAGACAGCGGCGATGTTTTCGGCAGATCTTGCGTTTGTCGATCGTTTACTGAATCAGTGTACTCAAATTCATCCACCACATTGCGAATACTCCTCTAGGTAGGACGATTATGGCGACCGTAAACTGGGCGAAGCGCGCGGTACGTTGCCCAAACAGAACGCCCATTTTGATAAAAAAAATTATTATTTGCACATGATGTTGAATGCTATGTCCGTCCATGGTGATTTGGCTAAAACAGACTGAATAAATGACAACTAATTTGACAGATATAGCTTCAACAAGATGGCCGTTATCAATTGTCAAATATCGGGAGTCCCTGTCGGAAGACCCTATATACAATAAGATAAATAATATGTTTGAAAAATAATTTGTTAGACATGAATGAACTTGTTAGGAATCGCACGGTAAAAGGTAAGACCTTGGTAATCCTTAGCTCGCACAAGTTTCGATATCTGAGGGTTTTCTTTCTTAGGGGAGCGACAGCTAGTTAACGATAAAACAAATTTTAACAGAAACAGATGATATGTTTGAATTTTAAACACTTTGAACATGATTGTTTAAGTTTCAGTATATTAGATATCATAATTGTATTTATTTCATGATAATACTTTTTCAACATACCAGAACATTTTTTATGCAAGTTTAGCTTTCGTTCCAAAAGTATCGAAGTTCTAGCTTTATACTTTGTTTCCTATTGTTTCGTAATAGTAAAACGTAATAAATTCCCATTGTGAATGCAGACAAAATTTAATTATTTATTTCGTTATGATTTGCCACAGCTCCTATAGGTCGGTTTATAAATACTTGACCTGTTCCAACCTATTTTATCGCAAACTGGTAGCAACTAAACATTTATGAGAGTTCGAGTCATTTCATTACCTGCAGTGACGTACGTTTGAGTATTTAATCAAAAAAACTATGTTTATTTGTTTATATTTACTATTTCTTGAGGTCATATTGTTACATTTTAATTTAAAGTATTTGAATAGGTACTCTTATTTAAGAAGATATTAGGTATAAACAAAAAATATTGTGCAGTATCACCCGATAATTTCGATGAATCTTCGTCGAACTGTATGATTGAAGGTTCTTACATGCTCACTATATTTTCGTAATTTTTCGGAATCGACATTTTTTAAGGACTAGATTCTCAAAGATTATTTTAGTATTTTTCATTTTGAATGTTGTGTTTCTTCTTGCAACGAAACCCTTTACTTAATTCCAAACGAGTTCAATGGGATTAAGTTCGCAATGATGAAGGGGCGGACGCAGAATAATATTTCTTTTCTGTGCCATCTTTTCAACTACATATTCCGTGAAACGAGCTTTATTTTAACATACCATGGACAATAGTTCTTTTCAATCCTACTTTCATAAAATGGTATGTTTTTTTGTCGAAGCCATTCAATGGCTCCAGTTGGTATTCTTTCAACTTTTTTGAATGAAAACTTGCATTATCCATCAGAATCACAGTATATCCTTCATTAAGTTGTTAAGTCGTTAAATCTTTCTATTCTCACGTCGAAACTCTCTTATCTGTCTTAGGTAATGTTTCCTCCAGCAAATAATTTCATAATTTTCTATGGAGAGCGATTTTCTGTTTTGTTTTTTTTCAGCAGAAATTTGAATCTCTTGAAGTTTTCCACAATTTCTTTCAGTGGAAACATACTTTGGTCTTCTGTCAAACTTCCATTATTTTGTCGGGGGTGGGTATTCCTTTCTTGAAATAAAATGAATGTACTGTTCTAATTGCAAGTTTGTAGTTTTCTGAGATTTGTTATATCAAATCAAACAAAAATATTAAATGTTTTAAATAAATACCACATTTTTTACTTTTCACTGACTAAATTATTAGACACGCCTATATTATTATACTCATGGGAATTGAAAATATTTTTATATATCATGCATATTTTTGTATTTTAGCCGACTAATAGTGAATTTTTGGAGAGCTGTCAGAAATTGGCGACCTCCCTAGCTGTAGTTCTAATAGAAACTACACTATAAGCCATGTCCAAGCCAGAATAGCGCAAAAATGAGTATCACTATGTTACCATCATTCATAGGTTCAACGAATTCATAGTAAAAATAGATCTTTAAATCCACTCAATCGATAATATACAAATGCACAGAGGGAATAAATAAAACTATTATTTCAGTAAAACTTCTCCTTTAATTGCCTACTTCTTTACTCCTCGTGAATAAATTATCAAATAAGTTACCTTGAAAACACTTAGAAAATAAAACATATTAGCAATGTCACGTGATGTGTTCTCCGTTTTCCTGCTTCCTATTGGTTATACTTTGTACTATGAGATTCAAACAGTCCAAACTTGATGTGTTAGGTGCGATTTCACAACCTGCAACAAAAATTTTTCATTTTCAATAATTGTATTTACCTACTTTTATTCCAAATATTCGAGATAAAACTGTATGAATTCACTACATTGGCATATTATTGAATTATCTCAACGCACGCTCAAAAAAATCAGTGTCTTTCTGTCCGTTTTATTTAAAACGGTCAAAGTAAAAAAAATCAATAGCAGTTTATGGAATTTTAATATTAATTGTAAAAGTCGTAATTGTGTTAGAAACGCTAATATTTGGTCGATAATGTTTTTGACATTAAAATATGTTTTACGGTTTTATTGAATACAAAAAATAATGATGTAGATAATGTTCTGAAAACTAAAAATTCATTCTGGAAGTCCTAGGTAGCAGTCATCACACAACTATCCCCAGCAATCTACGGTATTGTTCAGATAAAAAAGAAATTAAATCGTTGGGCGTAGCGTAACCTGAGTAAACATGTAAATACACCCATCGATTTTATTATATTTTATCTGATAAATATCGTAGATTGTTGAGGAGAGTGCTGTGATGAATGCTACCTAGGACCTTCCGAATGATTTTTCAGTTTTTAGCACATTATCTACATCATTATTATCTTTTTTATTTCAATAAAACCGTTTACATAATTATTTTTTACTTATTTTATTTTCAAATTTCCAGTTTCTAATTTTGTTACCCAGTTCTTCTCATTCTGTTTAGTTCATTTAGTGGCTCAGTATTACAAGGTAATGTTTAATCCGCCATTTCATAACTGCAGCCATCTTGAATTTACATCTTTTTCAAAGTGTTCTACTATTCTACTAGTCAAGCTCTGTCATTTGATACCCATATTGAGGTAGTTGTGAAACAATAATCAATATGTCTTTATTGAAACAGCATGGAAAACGAAACAAATGTGTTTTACTTTCATTTACACATAATTGCTGACCTGAAGGCGAAATTCATTAGCCCACTACGTATAACCCAGTGGGGTCCAGCTCTACCACTTAACCTTCTACCTTTTCATTATTAGATACTTGGGTTCATGTATCCAGTGAGGTTCTTAATTACATTAACTTAACCTACCTAAACTCAACTTAACTTTCAAGATTCTCCTAGTATACATCCATTCAGAAGACCTAACACAAAAGTAACCAAGTGTCAATATATTTGTTTGTTTGCTCCAAGGGAATTTGATTAGTAAAAGTGTAATCCGCCATTTTGTAGCTGGGGCCAGCTTGGATTTACAATGATACAGAATTTATTAAATTGTATTGTCATCAAAAATAAAAGTGTGTGCCAAATACCAGATCAATCTGTCAACAGTAAAGGGACCAAACTTCAACTACTAAATTTGTTCCAAACAAACAGGGCAAGCTAAATAAAACCGTTTGAAAAATGTGATTTAATATGTTTCTATATGAACAATAGTATTTTTTACTAAAAACCAGTAAACAAAAGGTTGAAGGACAAGTGTTTTTTTATTTTTTGTCTTACAATAATTAAAAATAGGTCTTGTATTGAAGTCCGGTCGGTCGGAAGCCGGGCCGTTCAACGTGGGTGCTTAGTTCACTCAGTCAATCGACCGATGTGCGAGTCGATGGTTCAATCCGCAGTCTGAACGCTCGATTTTTATTTGTTATCGTGTTAGAAATCACACGTTAAAAGGTAAGACCTCGTTAGTCCCTAGCTCGCATGAGTTTCGACTTCTAAGGGCCGTCGTTTAGGGGTGCGATAGCTAGTTAACGGAAAAAAACATATTTCTTTCAACATAAACATATACCCAAAATTTTTATTCTACGTAAATGAAGCAATACAGTACCTATTCAGATTTTTTACTTCTTGCAATATGAATTTCCTGACTATAAATCTATTTATAATTAGAAACACTCTAGAATAGCGATTAAGTTCACTAACAGGTAGCAAAGTAGTTTGATTCGGTGATGGAAACACAGTTTTCTTTAGACAATGCATTACGGTAGTGAATTGTTGACAAACAAATGTCAGAAAAATGTCCATTTTCAAAAGGGAGAATTTCAACTTCTGGTGGAATGAAACAACCGAAAAAAAATTTCTTGGCGCACTTTTCACCAATCCAATTGGCGTCATTGGGAGCTTGGGGTCCTGGATTCTGGAGGTTTTATTTTTGACAATAGGTAATGCATGAAATTTTCAATAACTCATCTTTTTTCCTAAAAGGTTCTGTCGTTTTGCGCAAGCTCAAGTGTTATTACATTTTTACATAGTGAATAGAATAACAAAAATTTCAAATTATCGAATGATGGTCTCTTGCACTGAATTAGCAAAATTTTCACAACTGGGATTTCTTCAAAACAAACCATCTCAATACTCGAAATTTTCAAAAAATGTATGAATATTGTGAAAAAGAATATAATAGATAAAGAACATTCTGAATGAACTTTAATCAAAATTGAAAAAAGATTTCATTAATTAACCAAATATACCAAACTTCCAGTATACCGAAAGTGAAGATGCGTTGAAAAATACGAGTATCATGTTATTGCGTTTAACCCCGTGATGTCAAACAATCTCCTCAATAATAAAGACATTTGTCAAAAATTTCAAATGGGAATAAAAGTCGTCATATCTTGTTTGAAATGTCTTCCTATTCTGTATCCAACACTGTAACACTTTTGACAATACCATAAACAGTGTCAGAAAAAATAAATAAAAACATTTTTTAGGTTTGTATTCAATTTGTAACTAGGTAGTGAAAACAAACATTGTTCCCTCTCTCACATTCTGAAGAATATCAGGTGTTAATAGCCTATCCTGTAGCACCTAGTAATTTCTTACTGTAAACTATCTTCAGTATTTGGCTGCCATCCCCATAGAAAAAAGTCCAATGGAGTCAAATCGGGGGATTTGTGTGGCCATTATGTAGAAGCTCTCCTTCCAGTCCATTGACCCAGAAGGTTATCATCGAGAAACTATCACACTGGTACTACGTAATGAGGGGAGCACTCATTTCGCAATAGAGGTTATAACTAGATGGTAACAACGATGGTTATGCTTGAGTTATTTAGTTATTATTTTGAGTTATTTTGACATACATATCAACAACTTCAGTAGTAACCATTCAGAACCATTTTGGGTAATTAAACAAGAAATTGTTCACCGTGAGTGCTTATTTCTGTTATTTTTGTTAATATCATCAAGTAGTGTGTTCAGGTAGATCTACTAGCTTGGAATTGAAAAAACATTTTTTCTGATATCGGGTTACAGGGTTGGATGCATAATCGAACGTTCTTTGAAAATAGCATCACTTGAATATTATTTCCATTTGAAATTTTTGATATGAGGGATGTTGCGGAGAGACAGTGGCTGACAAGGATTTGATTTTCACGTAGAAATGTGTCTCTCTAAAAACTAAAGTTTAACTGTCCCAATATCAAATGACTTATTTATCTCGTTTTATCGGGGATACACTGTATATGATAAGAAAAATTCACTTTGCGTCGTTAAGTAAACTACAGCTTTATAACTGAAAAGTATCACTTTCCGCATTTGTTAGGTAAATAACTATTGTGTGAGTATATTTCAAACTAATGAGCATATGTCGAAAAAACGGTACCAACTTTTTCCAATATTTTTTCATTAACGCGAAGCAAAATATCGAAAATCGATACTGTTTGAGAATAACTATCATAGGGGAGCCCAAGCGGGGATTTACTAAAGCGCGACAGATTTATACACAGGGATACCTTGTACTCGGTTAAGTACCTCCACCAAATATGAGCCTCATATATAAGGCCGCCCGGGAAGGATAAAGGATCAGATTAGTAAAAAAAATGTGACCATCAGAAATTCTCGAGCGCGTCAGATTAAAGTAGGCTGAGTTAATTACATGCTAAAAAGTGTATATTCCAGTAATCTGACAATTTGAGAGTGACGTAAAGAAAGGGAAGGGCAGCAAAGTTGTAAAAATATAACGTTATTTCGACATTCTCGAGTGTAGGTATTTTTTTTATTTGGAAGGAAATAATTCAAGGATAATGAAAAATATATAATCTGACGATTTGCAACCCGAAATAATAAAAATTTGTTGATAAAGTTTAATGCGTGCAGCTGTGTGATAACTATATTTCCCTCTTCGCGTTTCCATTCCTCTTTCACTTTTTCTCTATCTATTACTCTCTCACTCCGTCCCCACTCTGAATTATGTTGCCATGTCGCCATCACAGCTGATCACAGAGACTCGTTCGTGATAAAGATGATGATTAATTGATCAATTGATTACAAAAAATATCCTGAGTTTTTCAATTAGTTTAAAATCTGTGTTTCTCTTAATCAGATGTCGCCCCCATACGAACGACAACTCTCAGAAGTTGAGAAACTTGTGCGAGCTAAGGACTATCGAGGTCTTACCTTTCAACGGGTGATTCCTAACACAGTTGCAGAATCATCCCAACTTCAACCAGATAAATTCTCTCGAGAAAAATATCTGGTCGAGGCGGGAATGGAACCCACAGCCTTCCGATCGTGAGTCGGGCAACTACCACCGCGACCAATTCCACAATTAAGTTCAATGATTTAAAAAAATTGATTTTTTTTTGGCAGATTAGGCGAATCCCTCTCGATAATCGTCAGATTATGAGATAGCACGTCTAGAACATAAAGATGAACCATATATATCTTAATCTGGTGCGCTTGAGTTTTTACAAATGGCGAATTTTTTTGCACATTATAATAATGGCCGCGAGTTTGCGTCAGATCGAAATCGTCAGATTATTGAATGAGAGCTATTTTTTGGTGCACTCAACACCCCTTTAGAAAATCTGACGCGCTCGATTAATTTTTTTTTATTATCACTTTAAACCCTTACGTACAATCATCCGCATCATGCAAATGATCAGATTGACGAATATTATTATACATCAGATACGAACATTATTAAAAATATCAACAGTATTTTTTTACATATTCAAAAATCTTTAGCCGCTTCCCCCACTGATGAAAAGGTATATATTATATAACATTTTTTTTCTTCTTATCATCTAAGCTTTGC